ACCCTACCACCCTGAATTTACATATCCTCCACAGACCACTTATACGCTTCACTAGCGAGTGCTGCTCTGGCGTTACGTTTCTCAAAATATTGTCTTTCAAACCCGTTTGATCGGTCTAAAATACAAAGGCCCATTAATAAAGAACTATATGCTAAGCTAAATCACCTCAATCAGATCATTACATACCAATACCATCCCATCTAAACCCTGGTTGAATATTAAATCTATTAGGTGGTGCGGGTGGACCTTGATATTTTGGTCTGCCAGAACTTTTTTTACCTTTTTTCTAAAGTATATAAGGAATATGTTAATCATCCTTATATAAAATACGATACCATATTAATCTCATAAAAATAATTTACCTTGGTTAAAAACATTTCGGCTGGATCATTCCACCTTTCTTTGGCCCTCAATTCTTCGTTTAAATCTTCGTCATCCTTATATCTAAATAATAGATAACATTAGAACGGAGTAAAATTTGGACTAATAAAGCTTCTTTTTTTTTTTAAAAAAAAAAAAGAAGGTAACCTACATTGCTAAAGGTTTGTTTCGCAACTTTTCATCTCTACGAGCTTCTTCTTCTTTACCCCATTTTAACAACCTCTCCTCCTCCTCGATTCTACGTCGTTCCTCTGCTCTTTTTGCCGCTTTATCAATTTTGTTACCTGTAAAGAATATGTTGAATCAATTAATAATATTTATAAAATGTTTTGACGTGAAATCTTTAGGTATACATACCTACATTATCCCGATATATAGTAGCTGCATGACGACCAGATGAAGGTTCCATTTTATTTATTTTTTCCCTTTCGTTTTTATTAGCTCGATCTACATCTTTATGAATTTCGTCAGTAGAGGATGATTTATGACGTTTTGTTTTTGATTCCTCAACATCTGAAATATCTCTTTTGCGACTCGTGGATGACACAGAAGTTATATATTCTTCTAGGAGATCGTTAGAAGCATTTACTATCAAAACAAAAAAAAAAAAAAGATCGTCAGTAAGTAAAACAACATATTCAATTAGTTGATAATCTCGGAACTAACCAATCTGTGGAGCTTCATCTCCCACATCATTTACAATAGGTTTCCATTTGTTGGATCTTTGTATTTCTTCTGCAACTGAAAAATCTGACAAAAAAAAAAAAAAATTAAAGTTGCTGCGTCAAAGAAATAATTTCTTTTAATGAAATAAATTACCGACTACAGGAGCATCGTCATTTTCATCTTCAGAATTAATATTTTTCCATTGTCCAGTAATGTCCTCTTCGTCAATTATTGCTACACTTCCCACCTTATCAACCGCAGATGTAGATTTTATTTTCTTTTTTTTTTTCTTCGAAGTTTCCCCTTGTGTAGCTGTGGGCTTCGCACCGTATTTTTTAGTAAGATAATCGTCGAAAGAAGACATTAAGAACCCGAAATTCAATAATTTTGCGTAACGGTAAAAAAAAAAAATTGCCAATCAAATTTTAATGCCTTATGCCTGTATTTATAATTTTTTAAAAAATTCAAAACATTCAATAGCCGATAAAATAACAGAATGTATTTTGTTAAATAGAAAAAATATATGATTTAAACAACAAAATATGATTTTTGATATGACTAAAATAATTAACCTTTTACTTGTTTAATTCTTATAAATAAACAATTATTTCAAAATTGTTGACGATGAACAGTGTACTTATTGAAAAAGTTTCAGCACGTCTCCCCTTATGCAGATGTATAGATGGAGATATTCTGGACTATAAAAGCAGGAAATGCTGATTTTTTCATTACAAAAAAATAGGAGGACGATGTTTCGTTGCCTGGGATCTACCAACATTTTCTTTATTAGAAATTTGTCATTATTTATTTATTTATTTTTTTATTTATTTATTTCAAGCAATATCTACATACACCAGTGAAATCACCAGTGAAATCCTTTTTCGAAGAAATTATCATGGAACGAAAGAAGATTGGCACTCTAATCATTAAATATGAATAAAGATAGACACATTAGCAATCATTGTAAAAATTGTATTTTTTATTGATACTAATTAGAGAACTGTTCAAAGAAATTAAACAAAATGTTAACTAATCACATGATTAAAATGAATTTAATAATAGTATAATTGAATTATTAATACAAGAAAAGTCCAAAAAGCAATTGAAGACAAATTGCAAATTAAGTTACTAAAATGATCAATAATATATAGGTGTTTGCATTTTTACTTTATAAGCTAAATATAAATTTTTTAATAAAATAAGTTCAGATTTAATATTAATTCAAAAAATTTTTTTGAAATTTCTTCTTTCTATTACAAAGAACCAATATGTTTAAAAAATTAAAATCTGATACATATTATTTAAAAAGGTAATACCTTATGAAATTGCCAAATAAGTTGCTTATCAACTCTTATATTGAGCAAATTAAAATTTTAGATGATATTATTTATGAAAAAAAGGCTTAAAATTAAATTATATTTATATATAGTATTTATTTTTATTTTTTTCATAAATATTTATCTATAGAAATTTTGACACTTAAATAAGAAAAATTAATAAAAACATAAATACAAAATATATAAAAAATAGCTAGTTTAAATATAATTGCTGATTTATAATTAAGATATAATTTTATAAAAAGTTATAGCATTTATATAATTTTTAACTTAAAATATATTAAAAATATTATGGTATTATTATATAATAATAAATGAAATATTAAGTAAAAAATAATATACTAATAAAAAATGATTTAATATAAAATATCACTGATTAAATCAAAAAATTAGACATGTAATAAATTAACCCTGAAATAAAATATCAGCTAAAATTTTATTTATCTTATTTATAACTGATTAATATATATCAAAAATTAGATAAAATTCAACTTATCTTATTTATAATCATTAGTATTGTGATTGAACTATCAAAATATGACTGATTTACATAATATAACCTAAATAATAATATAATTGATATAGTTAACATAATCAATATATAGGAAATATTTATATATTTTATATATTTAACATAGTTAACATAGTTAATTTAGTTAAAATTGTTAAAATTGTTAAAATTGTTAATATGAGAGGCAGTTAATAGAAAAGGGAGAAATCTACAAATTTTAGTTATTAAACTAGTTTTGTTTACATAACCATAATCAACAAAGTAAACTAATAAAAAAAATTTTGGATTTTCCTCTTTTTTTACTAACCATCTCTTATATTATTGAAAAAGTTGAAATAATTAATATATTATTCTATGTATTTTAAAAAATATATATAAGACTTAGTTATTTAATCTTTTTTGGTAAATCTAAATCTAGATAAAATTTTTCTTAGCAGTTTATACTAGTCAAACAATACTTAGTTTATTAATTACATTTACTTTTTATTAGATAATTTTCTTATTTTTTTATTTATTTTATTATTTTTTATCTTCTTTCTTATGTTTTTTTATATTTTATTAATAAACTATTTTTATTGTAAACTATTAATCATATAATTTTTAATAATAAGTATTTGTATATAAATATTATTACATAATTTTAAAATGAATCAATTGATACATCTTATTTGACTATATGAAATTTATATAAATTTAACACTTTCAAAAATAGGCAGATATGTTCGTATTTAGTATAAACTTTATTTAATATAAATTACATATTTTATTACGTAAATTTAAAAAAAATAACTTTTGATATTTTGTTTAACTATTACAATTCACAAGAATTGTATATTAACAGCATAATTAATAAATTTAAATAGAATAAAATTCAGAAAAAAAATATAACTAATATTTTAAATTAATAAAATTTATTACTAAAAAATTTTAATTTATTTAATAGCATTTATAATTGATATTTTTTATTAATAAAATTAACAGCCAAATATTTTTTTTGTATTTATTAAATTGAAATTTAATAATTTTATAAGTTAATTTAAAATATAATAAATTAGTATTATATAATTATAACTTTTTAAATAAGATCTAATATCCTTTAATTTAATATTATATATTTTTTTTTTATTATTAAAATAATAGAAAATCAATAAATTAATATTAGTAAATATATATTATAAAATGTTTAATCAATTTAAATAGTAAACTAACTATATAAATAAAATAATATTTAACTTAATATAAATAATATTTAATAATACTATTATTATATAAATATAATAATAATATTAATGATTTAAAAGAAGATGATAATTCAAAAAAAAATTATAAATATCATAAATATCATCTAGATCATCTATTTAATTTATCTTATTTATTACTTTTATCTTATTTATTTCTTTTATATATTTTATTTTATATATTTATTTATTTTATTTAGTACTTTTATCTCTTTTATTATATTAATAACTTTATGTAGTTTTTTTTAATTTAATAGTGTGTTTTAAGTGTATCTTATATTTAAATAAGAATTTCTTCAGATAGTTTATTTTAATATTTTTAATATATTTATATAGTACAGAACGCTAACTAAGATAGTATTTATTATTATTAATATTAAATAAATTATTATTAATTAATACTACTTTTAAATCAATTATAAAATCAACTTTTTGCTTACTATTTAAAATTATCATATTGTTTATCACTTAAAATATCTTAAAGAATTAACTGTAATAATATGTATTAAGTTTAATTAATAAAAAGGGGCTCTCACAGCTTGAACAAAAATGCAATTTTGAGAAAATCATATTTTAAATCATGTGATTAATTTTGCTGATCATCACAGAAAAATTAAAAATTCTCTAAAACGGTTTTCATAACTTATAATGAAAATTTATAAATAACTTATTAAAACTATTCTCCATTTTAATACTTTATTTTATCATAAAATTATAGATATACGTCTTAATAAAGTTTGTAAAAAATTTGGTAAAAAATAAAAAAATATATTTATTTCAGAAATATACTATTAATATAAATTTTTAAAATATAAAAAAAAATAATTTAAATGTAATAGCCAAATCAACAATAATAAATATGTAAAAAATAGGTTTGCTTTATTGAAGTTATTCTGTAAAATATGAGTTTATCTATATTATTTTTAGCTAGATTATTTCAGTTTCATTTGGCTTAAGACAAATAATATTATGATAGGATAAATCAACATAAGATACAATTTTTTTATATAATTCTTTTTGTCTTTTTAAAAAAAGTGATCTAGTACTTATTGTAAGAGGTAAAATATTAAATTCAAAAAAAGAGGTACAAATTGTGATTTATTTAAAATCATCTTCAAACCTATCTTTATAAAAGACAACTTTTGAATGCTTTGAAGTAATATAAAAATAATGGTATTTTTGAATTTTAGGTAATTTTTTAAATGTTTGAAAGTAAACTTTAAAATTATAATACTGAAAGCTTTCTTCATTCAAATAATACTAAGTAATATTAAGATGAACTGTAGTAAGCAATTGATAATTGAAATTACATTATCTATAGTATTTACTTTACTTTTTTAATAAAGAATTTTAATTAAGCTAAAATAACTGTCACAAATAAACTTGTATGTTCAGGTATTATGAAATTTAACCCAACTTCATTATACATATTATAATTAATCAATCATGAATAAAAAATAAAAAATAATTATTTTTGTTTTGGTCTACATAATTATCACATATAATAATCAGATTTTTCTCTACAATTATATTTTTAAATTAAATACTAAACTAAACTTAATGTATAATTTATGATTTTTTCTTATTTGTTATCATCAGACATTTCAGCTTTATCAATTATATAATTAGTTTATTCTGTATGAAGAAAATTATCAGTATTGCAAATTTCAAATAAATGCACTTTTCAGAAACTCTTAAAAAATAAAAATCCTATTTGTTGAGGTGAATAAGAAATTTGTAAATTTTGAGCTTAATAATATGTGATATAAGCATTACCTTCAAAAGATTTAAATAATACTTGAGATTTAGTTGTATTTAAATTATGTTTTGTCATTCTCAACTGCATATTTATATTAATATTATAATAATCATATTTTTGCTTATCACAAATCAGATGAGCTAAATAATTTTCTGTAACTTCTAACTTCTTTTCATATTTAGTAGTATATTGAATATCTAATTTCATCATTTCACAGGTTTCATATAGGTTAGACTTTAGAGACATAAATTGAAGTGATACATCAAAACTCTCCAGATATTAGTAAAAGTTGATTCTGTCATAATAGTTGTTTTTCACCATATTTTTCTTTATAAGCTTATACATAATCATGATATATTAAGGTATAACTAAAATTTGTTAGAAGAAATATAACTGCTATAGAAATCTTATTAAAATGCTATTTAGATAAAAGTAAGCTGTGTATATTAGCATAATTTTTTAAAAACTTATATACTTTATACGCAATGCTATAATTTACCTCAATATATTTCATATTTT